AAATTATTTATTTTATATAAAAATAATTTAACAATCTCATCACTAATCATCTCGCACACTATTATCAAAACAAATATATTTGTACTTAATTTCCTCACTAACAATTCTCATATTAACAATCTCTTCACTAATTATCAATTTATTAATAATTTTATCTAACTTAATCTGTCAAATAAACGTGACCTAAAAACACAAGAAGATAGGATCAAGATAACTTTTTGAAAAATTCACTCTATTTTACTTTTTTTTAGTATGTAAAAGACTTGATTTTCTTCCAAGGCATAAGCAATAACATGAATCATATAACCGTTTCATAGGGTTCTGAGCCCTTCGAATTTGTTTGGTATGACCCAAGGAAATAAAAAATTAAAAAAATTAAAAATGTTTGGTGCTAGTTATTTCTTATGTTTTTTTTTTTTGTTAGAAATCTAGTTATTTTTTCATAGTCCACCTAATATTTATTATCATATTGATTACTTATTTATTGAGCAAATTATGTCGTGCTTCCTATAATTTATGTTTTATGTCAATTTGATTTTGTAATTCTAATTATATCAATTTTATACTTTAATATTTTATGCTGTATTAATTTAGTCCAATTGATAATTACTTTATTTGGGAAGAAAGTTGGCTAAAATAGCCTACTAAAAAACAAACTAAGCTAAAATAGCTAATATGACAAAATGTCACATTTAATCCATAATCGTTTCATTTTTTCTCTCATAACCATCAAATCAATTACAAAAAAAGTCAATAAACTTTCTAAATATAATTTTTTTAGCCAGACTAAAATATTTCAAATAGCTAATTAAAATAGCCTACTTTCCAAACAAGGCTAATATTTGTTAAGAAATTGAATACACATTAAGTAAAAAATTGTCCCGGTTTAAATTGGATATCAACCCCTCAATTACTTTGAGGTGAGTGAATGAATTATTTCGTTCATTAATTTAAGTCTAATATCTAAATCGACGCAATTTTAAATTGGATATCAACCCCTCAATTACTTTGAGGTGAGTGAATGAATTATTTCGTTCATTAATTTAAGTCTAATATCTAAATCGACGCAATTTTAAATTGGATATCAACCCCTCAATTACTTTGAGGTGAGTGAATGAATTATTTCGTTCATTAATTTAAGTCTAATATCTAAATCGACGCAATTTTAAATTGGATATCAACCCCTCAATTACTTTGAGGTGAGTGAATGAATTATTTCGTTCATTAATTTAAGTCTAATATCTAAATCGACGCAATTTTAAATTGGATATCAACCCCTCAATTACTTTGAGGTGAGTGAATGAATTATTTCGTTCATTAATTTAAGTCTAATATCTAAATCGACGCAATTTTAAATTGGATATCAACCCCTCAATTACTTTGAGGTGAGTGAATGAATTATTTCGTTCATTAATTTAAGTCTAATATCTAAATCGACGCAATTTTAAATTGGATATCAACCCCTCAATTACTTTGAGGTGAGTGAATGAATTATTTCGTTCATTAATTTAAGTCTAATATCTAAATCGACGCAATTTTAAATTGGATATCAACCCCTCAATTACTTTGAGGTGAGTGAATGAATTATTTCGTTCATTAATTTAAGTCTAATATCTAAATCGACGCAATTTTAAATTGGATATCAACCCCTCAATTACTTTGAGGTGAGTGAATGAATTATTTCGTTCATTAATTTAAGTCTAATATCTAAATCTGAATCATATAACCGTTTCATAGGGTTCTGAGCCCTTCGAATTTGTTTGGTATGACCCAAGGAAATAAAAAATTAAAAAAATTAAAAATGTTTGGTGCTAGTTATTTCTTATGTTTTTTTTTTTTTTTGTTAGAAATCTAGTTATTTTTTCATAGTCCACCTAATATTAGTTATTTTTTCATAGTCCACCTAATATTTATTATCATATTGATTACTTATTTATTGAGTAAATTATGTCGTGCTTCCTATAATTTATGTTTTATGTCAATTTGATTTTGTAATTCTAATTATATCAATTTTATACTTTAATATTTTATGCTGTATTAATTTAGTCCAATTGATAATTACTTTATTTGGGAAGAAAGTTGGCTAAAATAGCCTACTAAAAAACAAACTAAGCTAAAATAGCTAATATGACAAAATGTCACATTTAATCCATAATCGTTTCATTTTTTCTCTCATAACCATCAAATCAATTACAAAAAAAGTCAATAAACTTTCTAAATATAATTTTTTTAGCCAGACTAAAATATTTCAAATAGCTAATTAAAATAGCCTACTTTCCAAACAAGGCTAATATTTGTTAAGAAATTGAATACACATTAAGTAAAAAATTGTCCCGGTTTAAATTGGATATCAACCCCTCAATTACTTTGAGGTGAGTGAATGAATTATTTCGTTCATTAATTTAAGTCTAATATCTAAATCGACGCAATTTTAAATTGGATATCAACCCCTCAATTACTTTGAGGTGAGTGAATGAATTATTTCGTTCATTAATTTAAGTCTAATATCTAAATCGACGCAATTTTAAAAGGCTAAAAGTAAAATTAATGCAATTCGATTAACAACAATCTTGAAAATTTGTAATTTGTGAGTGTAATTTGCCTTCAAAAATTGTGTTAGATCCACCAATCTTGACTATATTATTTCCTAAACTAATTAGTCCTCACAATATTGTATAAACCCACAAATCTTGACTTGATGGTTTGAAATATCTTATTGTTACTTGGTCGTTACTTCTTAACGGCTTAACACAAGTCAGATGTGTCTGAATCAGTGCATTTCATAGGCCACTTAAACTTCTTTTAAAAACATCAATGTTTCATCAATTGAAGACAAAAAAAAAACAATAAACAACAATTACTCCTGCTGCAAACTACGCAAGTATTTAGGAAAACATACTTTATAATGGATTTAAAGTGAACAATAGTAGTAAAATGGTTGATTTACTCTCTATGCTTGAAAATATATTTTGTGCATTCTAGGACAAGTGGTCTTAGACAAAAAGTTATTGGGCTCATCATATTAATAAATACATTTAAAATTTGAAATATGTTGATCAGATTCATTTTCATATATCTAATACCACAACCAAATATAATTTTATACAAACGATTTAAATTTTAAACAATGTTTTGATTTCTTTTTTTTTTAATTTAGAGCATTTCGAGGAAAGAATAACAATATTACGTACTTTAAAGAAAAAAAAATTAGAAAGGTACTCAAACTTGAAATATGAATCATGTTCATTTGAAGTGTAATACATATCATATCAAATTTTTAGCACTTTTTTGAATATTCACAGCAGATAATGCGAAACTCTACCAAGTTATCAACAAAGCCATGTATAACCCATAAACTTTATTACAAAAAAAATTAAAAAGAAAAAGAAAAAAAAAAAAAACAACACAAGATCAGAAGCCTGGTATGAGAATTGACTCAAATTATAATTTTGTTTATTAATACAATAAAAATGAAAGTATTTTGTTTATTCATTTACATTTGTATCCTCTAAGTATTCCCATGTATAGCAAAAGCTAAATCGTGTATATACTTCCTGTGACTGGCTAACATGTCCTTCAAAAACTTCCATGATTCAGTGGCCTGGACCTCTCGGGCTAGGTCCCGATGGTAAGCGTTCGAGCCAACATGCCATGGACAGCTTGGCTTTCTCAAACACGGATGGGTATGTTGCAATGCGGTTTCCACAACCAAAATCCTCTGATAAAACCCTCGTTGCGCCAACATGGGTTTCACACAAAAGGGCAACAAAGATCACAAAAACGATCAAAACTATGCTTTTTCGTGAGAAATACATCTTCGATATGGAAAACCAGACAATGTTTGATGAGAGCTTATGGTGTTTGATGAGAAAGCTTTTGTTTGTTGGAAATGTGTTATGACAAAAGAGTGTAGGGGTTTGAAGTATTTATAGTTGAATAATTGGTTGTTGTATGCTTGGACTATGGAGAAAACACTTTGAATAATGAAACTTGGTATTTTTTGAAACGGCATTAGAGAGCTTTATTATGTGTTGACCAAGTACCATTTTTGAAATAGTCTCTGCTTTGCTTGTTGATTGTATGTGTGTGATATATGAGGGTGCTCTGTTGTGGTGGCGACTATTATGAATATGTGGGTTTTTCAAGCTTGAATTTGTCAACGGTTTGGATTTTCAAAAACTTAATTACAATTATGCCCTTGTTTTGTGATATGGGTTTTGGTTTGACGAAGGGTAATTTGGTACTATTAATAAGGAAATGGTGATTTTGTGAAATAGGGCAAAATTGTGGGTGTTATTTTATTGGGGTCAAGATTTGAAATTTTGAATTGACCGAAGGGTCTGTACAAAAATTAATTATGAAGGATGCAATCGTCAAGATCATAGTAAGTTAGTAGTAGTCTTGGAACTATTAAAAACATTCATCATAATTTTATTTTATTTTTGATTAATTACGTTTTTCAACTAAAGTAATTTTACTTTAATTTATATAATTTGATTTGTACATTTTAAGTCAAACTTTAATTTGATTAATTCATTTAAATTTTTGTTAATTTTGTTTATGTTTTTTTTTAAAAAAAATAATAATAAATGTTTCAAAATTATTAATTTTAAGTTTCAATTTGGACAGAAAAATCAAATTAAAATTACACTTAAAATATAGAGATAAAATTATTCAATTTGAAACTATAAGAATCAAGTGAAATTTAAATTATATTATAGAGTTAAAAAGTATAACTAACCATTACATGAAATGAATAGTTCATTCTGACCTATTAAGCATATCATTGATCTAGTTTTGATGATCTATTCAGTTCATTTCTTAAGCCATTAGATTATTCATAATAAAAATTAAATTAATCTAATAATCAAAACACATAATTTTAATGTCTCTGTCTAGAAAAATAAAAACGATAAGCATGATTATAGCCTTGTTTGGATTGTTACCGAACATAGCATAACCCGACCCAACATTATTGTTGCCTTGTTTGGATTCACGGGTAAGAGGGTATTGTTGCCTTGTCTCTATTCGACCTCTCTCTCTCTCTCTCTCTCTCACTCTTACACTCTACCAAACGATCCTTAAGCAGGTATGCCTCTCGCTCCTCCATACTGTAAGTGTAAATCAATTTACTCAATTCTGTTTTTATTTGTTTTATGCAACTCATTATTTAATCAAATTGAAGTTTTATTGTTGTCGAGTTGGTTATTTTCTGTTTTCTGAATAATTTTTATTTTATTTTTTTTCAGTTTTTGTTGTTCGTAAATACTGTTGGATAATATGTATATGTATATAAGTAGGTAAAATTTTTGAAGGTTTCAATAGCAATAATATGTAGGTTTCAGCATTTTGTGTTTCAAATTCATGCATTTTTATGTTTCATCCAAACAGCTGATTTTTTTTTCCACATATTTGATAGTAGGTAATTCAAACAAACAACCCTAAGAATTAAATCCAGTCACAAATTCAAATCAAGGTTTCTAAATGCAGGGTGAAAGTTTATAAACAGATTTAATTATTTGAAGAAGTGATGGTTAGAGATAAAACGAAAATGATTTTGTATAAAAAAAAACAAGGTTTTCTTTTACCCTTTTCCTGCCGGCACAGATTGTTTCTGAGAACTCTCAGCATGTCTGGTGAAGAGGAAGAAAATGCTGCTGAACTGAAAATTGGAGATGGTAATTGCTTTTATCTCTTTTGCAACAATATGTAGTGTGTGTGTGTGTCCATGTCTTTCTGCTTTAACTTTTAATTAAGAAAGTTTCATTTATATTTCTTGTTGACTTGTATATCAAGCCTGAGAAATGGTCAGGTTGTGAAATGATCTTCTCACTCAATTTGAATTTTCGACTTGAGTTAAATTGGACCTATGAAGATACCTTATGACTAAACTCTTTTTGGTGTTTCATCAAATTTTTTTAGATTAGAATTTTATTCTTTATTTCCCTGTTTGTGATGGCCAAGTCTCAAAAAGTTCGGGGATTTTTTTAACTCTTAGATTCATAACGAGAATGCTACTGAACCTATATTCATATGTACAACAACTGTAACAAGCGCTGCTTAACAACAACAACAACAACAATAAAGTAAACATTTGTAAATCGGATAGAAATAGAAACTGAAGTTTATTCTTGTTATGTATTTGGTGAACATGTGGCAGTATAATTGAGACAATTATAAATTTTGGTGTTCATTGACAATTGTGTTTGTTCAGAGGTGGGCATCATTGGTGGTATATTCTTGTTTCTAACTTGATTTATCTTGAGCTGCCACTATAACTTTTTTCTTTTTCTTTTTTTCTTTTTTTTTTTTGCCTCTCAGATTTTTTGAAGGCCAAGTGTTTAATGAATTGTGAAGTTTCCTTAATTCTTGAACATAAATATGAGCAGCTTCAGCAGGTGGCTGATGATCCAATGAACCAAGTTTCTCAGTGAGTACAAGTTTGCATCCTTTCATCTCACGCGTTTTCATTTTTCCGTAATTGCAATTTATGGATTATTTGCTGATGTGCAATCGCTAAATATATATTTCTATGTAACCTCAAGGTTACCTCTTTGGTATGAATCACTGTGAAGTCACCAATGTACATTGTGTGTCAGTTTAATGGTGCCAACTGATCACGCACCATCTCATTAGTTATGGGCTTAATAGAAGTTTCTGTAACTTCATGCGTCAATACTATACGCTGTGTGCTTCCTTGGACTTGGGTGGCTAGTTTTCTAGATTTAGCATAGTTAAATGCAGGATTGAGGAATTATTAGATTCCTATATTTAGCATAATTGAATGGAGGTTTTTATAAATTATTAAAAAAACTGCAAATTGGCGTCTTGCTTAATTGAATAATATTCACCTCTTTCCTGAATAATCATTGAAGTTTTACCTTACTAATGAACATGCTCATGTGACATGTTCTGTTCTGCCTCTATAATTTTTTTATTTGATTATCTTCTCTTTTTCTTTTTCTAATCCAAATGTAATTGAGTTCTATTTATCTTTCTTTTCCAGAGTATTTGAAAAGTCACTGCAGTATGTCAAGCGCTTTAGCCGCTACAAGAATCCAGATTCTGTCAGACAAGCTCGAGAGTATCCTTTAATTGAATGAAAATATTGCAACTTTATTTCTGTTTTGTGTCAATATTTTTTGCATCTCACTCTAGCAGTTTGATCTTAACCGATAGTTAGAATCCTTAGTAGATACCAATTGGCTGAATTTGAGGTACAGTACCTAATAATCAGCTGAGATGCATATCTTTATTTATTTATTTATTTTTGAACTTACAAGAAGAACCTATACATGTTACACTCTACTTGTAAGATGCAGCTTTGTGTGCTTGGAAATCTTTGCCCTGAAACTGTGGAAGAAGCTATTGCCATGGTCCCATCTATCAAGGTAGTTTTATTCAGTGACACTTGTACCATTAGCCAAAACTGTACACTTATGCATGATTCCTATGCTCGGGCATCATTACAAGCCAGAAATCTTGCAGTTTTAAATTAGGGGCCTTTGGCACTGTGACCAACCCAAGTGTGATTGTTAATGCACATCAGTGTTTTGTTTCATGTTTTGTTTGGTCTTGATAAATATTCTATTGGCATCTGACAGAGCTTCTTTGTTTTGCAGAGTAGAGGCCGTGCTCTTGAAGATGAGGCGATTGAGAAAATGTTGAACGACCTATCTCTAATAAAGAAATTTGAATAGTGCCCTATGTATTTCTGCTGAAGCTATGTTGTGAAGATACTCTGGTGTTTGACAATGATAGTATAGTCCCAAGTTGCAACATACTGAATTGTGAACTAGGCATTTTATGCAGATGCCCTGGCTGAAAAAGCTAAAAATGTGCTCTTGATTAGGAGTCGTGGCTGCATCTTTTGCGTGAGTAGTATGTTTAACAAAGCCTATTGATAATGCTAGTCCTAAATCTGTTGCTCGTTGCTTGTTCAGAAAATGGCTTTAATTTATAGGTTCTGCATGGTTAGATTACAAATTACACAACACACACACACACATATATATTTGTTTGATGATGAATCCTTTGTTCTTCCACCATTGTGTATTGAATAGCTCATCAAATTAATGTACTTGTATCAGCATCATGATCTTGACATGAGCACATTTGTGGGGCTGACAATGAAATATTTGCAATAGTTCACATCTGTATTGGAGGGGGAACCAAAACCCTAGATATTGTATGGTCAATTTTGGAACGTAACAAACTCAAAATTGTGTCACATGCGTATCTTTTGAAGTCAAAATTGAGTCAAAATCCTAGAGTACTATCATGTATTGAGTTGGCTATGTTCCAAAATAGGTGGAACTTCACTTTATGCAACACATTGAGTTGGACACATGCATGTATTTTACAATTTTTATGCTTTTCTTATTTTTAGGGTTGGCCTGGTCCAGTGATTGTCTACCCCTAGCTAAAAACCCGTGCCATGCACAGTGGAACATAATTTGTTCCAAAATACATGGAGTCAGTTACATACGTGACATAATATTGAGTTGGTTACGTTCCAAAAACACATGAAATATTATTTTAAAATTGAGATGTTGAAGTTCATAACCTACTTATTTTCACACAATCTGTATCTTTTCTTCTGCACAAGGGACGTCAATTAAATTTTCCAAAACAGAAGTAACGGAGCACAACAAAGTCATGAATCAAGCTAAAAGATTACATCCAACAAAATACACAAAAATTCTTAGGAAAAAAAAGAAAAGAAAAAAAAGAACTTGAAGATCATGTCTACATCTCTAGTCATACTTATCGTTCATTCAAAAACAAGGGTTTCAAAAGGTTGAAACCCATCAAAGGCGGGCGTGAATCGCAACACTTGCTTGCGACGACCATCCTCGTTGTTCTTTTTTGTATCAGTGGCAGTAGAATGCTGGACTTGCTCTGGCTTTGCCTCGGCCACGCCTTTGTTATTCATCTTCTTGGCAGGAACAAGAGGCAGAGGCACACCAAACTCATCCCCAAAGTAGTCAGCACATATGGTTTCAACTGATGATCCAAAAGCAGCCATTCCCACAAAGTATCTGAGAGGAAACTCACTCACAACTCAACCCAAAACAAAGATTTGAGAGACAGCAAAGGAAAAGTGAATGAAAACTTGAGAAGAAAAAAAAAAGTGGATGATATGAAGAGGTTGAAGGAGTTGTGGATGTTATATAGAGAGAGTGAATGTGTGTATTCAATAGTACTTTGAATTAAAGAAGAGAAAGGATTCCCTGAACCTAACATGTTCAGGATTGGGAAAACGTAGTAGACTTGTTTTTTCTTTTTATTTTTTTCTGTCTTCAAGAGTTCATTTTAGGAAAAAATTCTTGGTTGTCTGCAGAAGTAGGAAATTTCTTGGAAGCACCAAGGAGCAATTATGTTTCCTATTTTTTGTTTTATTTTATTTATTGTGTTTTCTTTTTCAGTAGTTATATGCAGAGCCTTTCTGCATTTGAAGGTGGCAGGTGTGGCCTTCTGGTCTAGGCCTACATCCGATTTTTGTCCCACACCTTTGGATTCATATCAATTAATTTAAAATTTTGTAAAAATTGTTTGAAATTTTCATTTAAGATTAAAATTAATTTCAATCTTATCTCCACCTAATCACCACCTCCAGTTGCCACCCCCGCCCCCAACCGACACCCCACCTCTCCCCACAGAAATTACTATATTGATACCTGTGCAAAAGTAAATTACATTATGCGCCCTAAAATTTGTGTCCAACTTTTTACTTTGATTCCGAGGGATTGTTTGTTTTCAGAATTAGATTTGATGAGATTGTTAATGTGAGAATTGTTAATAAAGAGATTGTCAATGACGGGACTAAAAAAATTGTGTTTATTTGTGATATATTTTAATTAGGGGATTAACTATATAAAATATCATAAATATCCTTTAGTGTTTTTGATATATTTTAATATTAAAAAAACATTTTTTTATAAAATATATAGTGATATAATATCAACAAACAAAAAAAATATACAAACACACACCATGAGCAAAATAATCTTCTTTTTTCAAGTTAATCCTTTTACTAGTTTTTGAAACCTAATTTTTGGAAACCTTTGCTAATCTCTTCATCCAAGGCCATGCCTATTTCTCCACTTTAGGAACAAATATTATTTTAACGCTTCCAACTCATTAATAATCCAATCTCAAACTCCAATCTCCGAAAACAAATAGGGGCTTAAATTTCAAATTTTCCAGTATGCTCCTCCGGCATGGTACTGAACAAAATAAATAAATTTTGAATTGTCTATTCTTTTAAACAATCATATACTGCCACACGAAATTATAAGTTGGACGAAAACCTTGTATAATTGGTCACTTTTTTCCGCATTCATTTTTTTCCTAAAATATTCTAACAAAGAAAATAGACACTACCCATATTATTGAAACCCCTTTTTTAGAGACCTCTACAATTCTTTTAGATCTTAATCATTGATAATGTGAACTCTATACATACATAAATAAATCTCACACATATATCACTGATTGAGATCCAAAAAAGATTATGAAGACCCCAAAAAAGGAGGTCTAAGCATTTTTCTTTTCCTAAAACATTCCATGGTGAATGGAGTGTCTGGTTTGATATAATCACTATGATTGAAAATATCAAACCTAGCAACTCAAGTTGAGATCCATCACAAACAAGCAATGATCATTTCAATTTTGTGCTGAACTTCACATGGTAAGTAACCACACATATTATTGACAAATATTAATAAACACACATTATACTAACAAACAGAGCTGTTCTAAATCCAACGGTTTATTTCACTGCAAGTTCTAACAAACAGCTCAAGATTAAGCCACGTGTCCCACCAACAATAGCTGCTATCCAGCTAAACTGAGATAAATAGAACTCGCAACACCGAGCGCGTACACCCCAATCACGGTCCCAACCAAGTCCTTCCCGGACCGAGTCACGACTCCGACCCCAGCAATCCCAGCGATTCCGATTGGGACTCGCTGGAGAACCGCCTTTCCGGCGTTCGAAACGACGGCGTTTGTGAAAACCTCCGTCGCAAAGGCCTTAAACTCGATTGGACCGAGGCTGGGCTGTTCTTCGTTTTCGTTGCTGGACCGGCGAGTCACAACTAGTTCGTAGGCGTTGTCGACTTGGGAGCGAGTCGGAGGGTTCGGGACCCATTTCTTGACGAGAGGGTGGGGGTGGGATGTGGAGAGGAGGGAGTGGTGGAGGCGATCGGTGGCGGAGCAGAGCTGGTAGGGTTTAACGCCTGGGAAGGCGTGTTGGGCTAGGTTTAGGCATTCTTCGAAGACTGAGTCACAGGCTGAGTTGAAATCCGGCGATGAGTCCAAGCTTCGAGAGACTCGTTTTGACGCTGATAACCCCATCACCTCTCTCGATCGATCGATCGATCGAGAAATCTAGAGAGGGTCAACGACGATGATGATAAGGTTTACATTTTGCGACCCTGTTTGGTTTTGCTTAATTTCAGCTTTAACTTAGGGGGTGCAAAAATCGGTTTAGAGAGGGCCAAATCTCTTCGCTGTTTTTTCTACTTCTATATTTGTACTAGATTAAGAAGTTGTTGGGGATGTTCTAAATAAATGTATTTTTTGAATTTTTATAAAATATGAGTTGGGTTTGATGTGATGTAATAAAGAGATAATATGACTTAAATAAGATAATGTGATTTAAATAGAATAATATTTTTTTAATTTTTTTAAGATACCCTAAACCATGCCTAAATAAATAGAAGGTATATTTACTAAAATAGTCTATATGAATGGTTATTTTTTAGTTTGGTCCCCAAAATAAAATAGTCCGGAGGTGCTTTGCAAAAGCTTAACATCTTCTCGCAAGATTAACCTTTCTTCTCAATCTCAAGTTAGAAAAATTAGCAAATTTGCATCTAACAAAATTTAAATATAAATATGTCTTTTTGACTATTTGAAAAATTAAATTGTTTTTTAATTAATATTTAAATGTCAAAAGGGTTTAGATTTCGCTCAAATCAAACACACTCGTGCCATCCTCGTTGGGTTGATTGAATAAGGTAGAAAAAATATTAATTTACATACAATCTTAATTTTTTTTACAATTTCAAACAAAAAATATATATTATTTTTTTCAAACCTCAACACAAAATCATAAATCAAAAACCAAATTTGGCTCATTTAAAAATTGACTATCTTATTTAAATTTTTTAATTTCGTATAAAAAGACGTATAGAAAAATAAAAAAAATAATACGATAATCTATAATAATTTTTTTATTATTTTAACCTATTGACAAGCGAAGAGGAACACTCGTCTGCAAGTGAACACTCGTCTCCACCAGGCTGAGAAAAATGGAGTTCCCTGTGATTTTGTTCACTGTGCAACAAGTGAAATGAAAACAAATTACAATCGCAAGGGGACTGCACAAAATTCATGGTACGGTTGTCAAACATATATACAATAATCACAACCAAAAAAAATGAACTTTTTGAACAAACTCCATCATTACTCAAAATGAGAGACTATTACAATGAAAGGTTTGCATTTCTTTGGTCAAAGGTAGAAAATACTTAGAACTCACTAAACATACAAACATTACAAGCCATAATACAAATGAGAACAATTGGGTGGTTCGCTCAAAGGGTACACGATGAGAAACAAACTTTGATTTAATTGTTTTGAAAAAAGAAAATGAAAGAAAAGAGGTTAAAAGAACAAAAAAATATGAACTTTTAAGGGCAGAATAATAAAGAAGAATACTATTCCTCTTTCAACTAGCTAAGTGGCTGGGGGAGCTGTTGAACATGGTGTGCCACATATATGCCCTAGAAAGCACCATCTCCAGCTCTAGATGGGTCCAATTCTGAGTCGGAAGGTGTTGCAGGAACATCACCATCTCTTGGAAATCAAGCTTCTGTAGCTTATCTGACCACTGAAAAATAAACGTAGATCATATATATTAATCATCTTGAATTACAAGGGGCAAGAAGTATTTTAGCTGATGTCGTTTGATCATGTTATCAGTATCAAATTTTAGACAAATAACATTTGATAATGTTGGGAGAAATATTAATCCAAAAGAGAAAAAGAATCAACTTTTAGACAAATAATTATTCACCAACAAACAAAAGGAAAAGAAGAAAAAAATGGGAAAAAAGGAAGAAATTTCCGTAGATATCCATGTGAAAATAGTCAACCAAAAATATGAGCTGATTAAATGAGAATCTATCTTACCGTTAAAAGAAAACTGGCAAATATGTACACAAGAAAATCTGGCAATGCATCACCTTCAGCAAGGTATGTGTCCCACAAGCGGGTAACAAGATTGAAAGGAATCTAGGAGAACATGCAAACTCATTAGCTAGCTTTTCTTTTAACACAAATCATATCAGCTGGACATCGTCTATAATCAATGGCAACCTAGAGACCAAAGGTTTGGCCTACTTTGTTCACTAAAATATGAAAAAAAAAAGCAATAAAAATAATAAAAAATTAAAAAATACAATTAAAGAAACAAGAACTATAAGGTCAAAACAAACCTCACGTATTAGAAGACAATTGAACCACCGGAAAGCAAACTGAAGGAATTCAAGCCCTTGCTCCTCCATGTGTCTCGAAACAGGTTCTGAAAAATTAAAAAGAATGGAATCATGAGTAGGGCATGCTATTTCACAAGCACAACGGACTTTAATTGGACAAAGATAAACAAGAAATTTATAAAAAGTGGATCCTGAAAAAATTCTAAAGGTTTTTCCTAAATGATGACATTTTTAACACACTCTACACATCGAAAAAATTAGAAGAGAAAGAGTATTAATAAAATAGTTGTTGGCATCTTTGCACTAAATGTTCCATCCAAATCCCAAGACTGATCACAATAGCTACATAAATGCAAGCCATACGACCAAGTTTAAGGTACCATTTCAGCATAATCATTACATTATATAAACACATTTAACCTTTTTCCCTCTAATATTTTGTACTCCTAGTGCACAGTACTAATAACAGAAACAAAAGCAGAGTATCAGCTGATTCGCTGTTTCTCCACACCATCACACAGTTTTCGGAAAACAACAGGAAAACAAGCAAAAGAGAACTTGCAGTTGACAGCAAATGCAGTTTGAAGTTATGATAAAGAAGTTCAGCTCATAAGAGGGGCAAGCAATGAGAAATTATGCCATAAGTGGACATACCGTCAATCCGCCTAACCAATTCCTTCAGCTTAAACACAAGCCTCTGGATTCCCGGTTGAGCAAACGTGTAGTGGTCCTGCATGCCATCAAGCAACTTGGACAGGCACCAATAGCAATCAGCTTCGATGTTAGAGATTTTCTCCAGAGGTAAATCTGAGATCGACCAATTATCCACACTCCCTTCCAAGTATTCCGATAAGAAAACTACCAAAAAAGGTGTAGCAAGATCATTTATTCCCTGAACATATCCACTTGCCGGATGTCGAATGGCCCTGGGGAATGAAAGAAAAGAAAAAGGAAAAAAAAAAAATTAAGAAACAATAGCTGAGATGTAAAAACTAGAAAACTTGAACGAGGATATCCTTACAACAACCCCCTATATCTTAAACAGACTTTTTTACGGTAAAAAAAATTGGATCTAAGGACTAGTCACAAATAATCATGATGAAAAAAGTGAAATAACAAATATTGGCAACACGAAGACTTCATGGGTACTTTAGGAGTCAGATCTCCATTTTTTTATCAGCAGATAATTTTTTTCTGAATCGAATTAAGTTAGCTTCATGTTGATACATAATGTTAACATTCTCATTTTTGTCCCAAAGAGAAGTTTGTACACCGCTCGAGTACATGGGCGACACTCCCTTGGCATCTTTCCTATGAACCTACTTACCAAAAAGTAATTTTAGTGCCCCTACCCATGGTCCTAAATATACATACTCAAATGATAGCCCTCAAAAATTTCTTTAACAAGAAGCATCCAGATCAAGGGTTCACCCTGTTCTGTATCTTACAAATCTACATGAACAAGGAAAAATGAGAGCATTCAATATATTTGCATATGGTGTCCCAACCATCTGAACCGGGGAAACAATTGACAGGATCATGATCCCCACACAGTTCAAAGCATGAGCTACTCTAGTAACTCCGAAACTTCTATATTTGCGCACCTCTCTTGTTCTGGTATACACTATTTGTGCCAATCGGATATCAACTGTCAAACAAAAATCAAGTGTTCAGATATCAACTACTGAACAAAAAACAACTGTTTTGATATCAAGTACCGAACATAGTTTCATTTGGTAGTTGATATCCGAATAATTATTATTTTTTTATAGTTGATATTGAACAGCAAAATGGTGTAAACTGAGAAGTTTTTTGGTGTGAAATAGAAGCTCCTAGTAACTCCCAGTCAAGCTAAAAGAGTAAAATTGATAAATAAAGCAAAATTATATGAAAACCAGCTTCCTTATCAGCTAAGTTCAGATTCAATTTAGTTTCCACTAGAAGATTGAGAAACAGAGTATGCAATCTCATGCCTAAGGTAGCAAAGTTCCACGATCGAAAGACTTGGGATTTATCCAATCCACAGCCACTCCAGAATCATGGTCTAGGTCACACTGATGGATTCCCGTAAAAGAGGCTTCCCAAAGGCCTCCAAGGAGGTAGGATCTCTGCTTTTATGGCAAACCCAATATCCACAGGCTTAGAGAAAGATGGGATAGCATTGTCCAAGTTTTTCTCCATGAATGCTTGTTATTCCTAGTTGACCTTAGTTTCCTAAGGCACAACAATCAATATTAAATTTGATTCTCCCTTTTGAAGGAACAGCAACAAGCACAGCCACTTTTTGTCGCAATTTGGGTCAGTGTATCTTCAAAAGGCCAGGGGACATTATTTAATTTCTTCCATATGCACACAGTGTATCATACAGATAATCATAAATTTTAGGAAGGAAAAAAAAATGAAGGGGAGAAAGTGAGGGATATTTATTTAACCATGTATAGAGTATGCGCTCCAAGGATTTCTGAACCTCTGCTTGCTGAAAGAAGGAGACATCAGGTACAGTTCTAGGACAATCAACAGCAATCTAAGAACAAAGAAGGTAAATCATGTATGTGGTTAGAAAATGCTATAAACTGAGGAAGCTAGACAAATGATAATTGGAAGGGTTTTTAGATAGTATCCTCAATACCTGGCGAAGCATGGTTACCTCCTCATCTGTACGCTCAGTATCTGGAACGTCATAATACTGAGCAACACAATCAAGATACTCAACGCGCTTTCTTCTCAAAACTCCCTCCCTTCTATCTGAATTAGGGGGTGCATATCCCTGTAAGTCAGTCCATTTTTTAAAATTTCAAACAAGCAACATTCAATAAATTCTGGTTAACAAGATACCACATGAAGTATGCCCATTACAGTCTCAAAAAAGCAATTAGATGGAACAAAATACTTCTGAAATCGCTAGAAAAATAATTAGTTTTAAAATTAATTATATCGAATGCATTCATACTCCTTAAAGAACCACAACACAGTTACAAAACCCAGGGTGAATGACACAATGCACATGAAGAAAAAATCCAATAATATATAATTTGGAAAGCAACAACACATTCTTTCGCCTATAATCTTGGTGAAAAAGACCATAAGTATATAGAAGCATACAAGCTCTTGAGCCCAGACCCAGTTTGTCTACTTCATCATTATTTGGTGGATTTGATTTGGAACCCATCTTTCTACTTCCTCGTAGTTTGTTTCTCTCCTTTAAGTGTCAACTGAAGCATGTGGATACACAATGTTAACATTCTCATTTTTGTCCCAAAGAGAAGTTTGTACACCACTCGAGTACATGGGCGACACTCCCTTGGCATCTTCCCTATGAACCTACTTACCAAAAAGTAATTTTAGTGCCCCTACCCATGGTCCCAAATATACATACTCAAATGATAGCCCTCAAAAATTTCTTTAACAAGAAGCATCCAGATCAAGGGTTCACCCTGTTCTGTATCTTACAAATCTACATGAACTGGTGTAATATTCACTTTGCTTGGTTAGAGTTTTCCAAAAACATTTTTCAAAAAATTTTACTTTCTTGTTTTCCGTATTTTTTCGTTTTTACTGAATTTTTTTAATATTTTAAGCAACTTTTTTTAATTTTTAGACATACCTAACATAAATAGACCTAAAAAGTAAAAAATTTGTGAAAAAAACCTTTTAAAAATTCACTAAATACCAAAAATACAAAAAAAAAAAAAAAATACTAGAATTCAGTACATTTTTTGTATTTTTATGTATTTATTAATTTTTTAAAATATTTTTTCACAAATTTTTTACTTTTTAGATACATCTAAGTAAGGTGCATCTAAAAAAGTAAAAAAAATCTTTAAAATGTTAAAAATATTCACTAAAAACAAAAAAACAGGAAAACCAAAAAACTCACTTTTCAAAAAACTTAATCCAAAAAACTCAAACCAAACACACTGATTACTTTTCTTTTTTTTTTGGATCAGCAACAAAAGGTAATTTTATTAAGAAGGGGAAAAAAGAAGTACAAAGAAGGACAAGAAGTCCTCAAAGATGCAAAAAACTGAAAACTAAAAAGGCTACAATTCACACAATGCTTTCCAATCACTAGAAATAAATAAAAAGCGGAATTCCCTTAAACGGGGGAGCAACTGAAGCCCAAAAAGATGCAAGAAATCTAATTTTTTCCCCACATCGACAAGACATCTGAATTTTTATCCTCAAAGATCCTCGCATTCCGTTCCAACCATGTGACCCAGAAAAGAGCGAACATTGCACAAAGCCCCAACACCTTTGCTTTCTTGTTAAGGCCTAAGAAACATAAATCAATGGATGGCTACCGTATTTTTCTTTAGCATAGTTGTCAAATCATGAATCAAAATGATCTTGTACTGAATCATGAATCAAATTGAATTGTGAATCATAAAGATTCAATCACTTTTTCTAAGTTACTTAGAAAAATATACCTACACATTTGGATGTTAAATATATCTTATAAATATAAAATATTTAGACTTAAATCAATGAAAATAATGTTTTGAATGATGATCATGTGGTCTAATAGGTAAGAAGTTAACACAGGTTCCCATGTAAGATCACCCTCATACCTTTTCCTTTTTTTTAGATATTGCTTATCAATCATTTAATAAAGAAACTAAACAAAGACAAACTCTCAATTTCTAAGTAACAATAACTTAACATTGATGTTGATATTCATTAGCATACATCCTTATTTTCTACTTCAATATTACATTTTTTAATAAAATAGCAATAGATAATTCATATTGTAAGTTACTTTAACCTTAAATATCTTTGGAAGATACACTATAATTCTTTTAATAAAAAAAATGAGAAGGGTTAAAAACATATTAGGTCTGACTCAATCTGGTTTAATCCTATTAAAAATTCCAGATGTCCAAAATAACAACAAATTACGTATATATGTTGGTTATTTTTGTACTAAATACTATTAGAAGTTGTATTATATCATTTTTAACTAAAAAAATAGAGAAAAAAGGAATCAAAATACGTCAGTCATGATAATTTCAAGAATTGCACAAATCGTAAAAAGCAAATCAAATCGTGAATCGATAGTGGCTCATGCAATTCAGTAGAGATTCACTTCTAAATAGATTTACCTATAAATTCGTATCGATTTTGCAAAAAATGTGAATCGAATAGTGAATCGAATCACGAATCAAAAGATTTTGACAATAGAGGGCATCAACATTATTCATGACCAAGTGATTAGAACTTAGCATGATAATAGTTCCACCAACTAATAAATCAAATCTAAGCTAAGAAGCACGGACACTTCTAAGAAGATGGTGTGTCTGTGTTAAATACCGACACTTGTCAAACACTTCCTAACATATTTCGGGCATGCGACACTCATCTAAACATGTCCTATTATTTTTAAAAAAAATTATACATATGGACACGTTTCAAACACTTGGAGCGCACACGTGTTACACACTACTTCAGAAATTAGTGTTATGTTGTACTTTTTTTTTATTATCATTTTATCATTGACACATAATAAATACATAAAATATATATATTTTGCTTATGTTCCCCATGTATCATGTCATGTCCTACAATTTTTTAAATTTTTTGTGTCGGCGTACCCATGTCGCATCTATGTCTCTGACAATGCTTCTTAGAATCTAGATCATTCCACCTTTTCACTTGGGTTGACTATGAGTCTGCAATTCTCAAAGAAACAAGAACTTTATTTTCAATACCTAGTAAAGGGATATGCCAGAAATCCAGAGAATGTTCCAACTCCATGGCTCAACTCTATGGTCTGATGGAGAGGATTATACAGTACTTTTCATGGGAAGCCAAGTTTAACGAGCTTAAAATAAAAAAGAAGCAGAACATGTGCTAACTTTTCTCAGTGGACAACATCCTTAATACCATCCATTCTCAATTCTACTCTGATAACAAAGAACATAACAAAAAAAGAGAACAAGGATTCAACACATTCCCAACTAGAATAAAACCAATAGAAAAAGGGAAGAAACAAAAAGAAAAAGGAATGTACTACATCACCATTAGGCAAAACCACAGGGATAAGTGATGCAAATGGATAAAGGTAAAAGCCACTTAGCTCAAACTTGGATTGTTATTGCTGGTCCATTTTATAAAGGACCCAAGAAATAAAAACTAGGAACCACCACAAACAAAATAATCATGGCGCAGATGCAAAGGCAAAAGCTGGATATTGATTTGTCCTTGTGTAGAATATGTCCCAACACAAATATCATATCAGAGCTAAGTCCCCCTGCCTATGAACTAATGCGCATCTTTGCCTACAATTTATGAAGTAGCCATTTCACCAAATAAAGCTAAACTCCCTCCTCCAGCAATAAAAAAGAAGAAAGAAAAAATGTAAGGAAAGACGATGCTACAGCCTCGTGGTACATAAGTACGCTACTCATGCCACTCTCCTGTATTCCACTAAGAAGGCATTCGTTACCAACCGAATAAACAATAACTTATTTAATACTGCAATCTCAACATTGAGATGACCCCTCAAACATGACCAGTGAATATTAAGAAACATTTTTAATGCAGGGACAAATACTTCTAGTCAATATGATTTGTAAAATTAGTAGCTGATATTTAAAAAGTCAAGCTTACCAAAAGAAGCCTCCACACAGTAGGACGCAGATATGATGGGACACCGCTCCAAGCTAACTCACGCATTTTCTCTGCAAGAAAAGACATCATTGACAAGCCAATTTTTAGTTAATGATTCCAGCTCATAAAAACAAATACGTATATATCAAATTGCAGGAACTTTATCCAACATCTCACATGAGAGGTAAGTGGCTATAATAAAATACTGGGGTTAAAGTGCTCTGGGGCTAAACACAAGGGGGTAAAATGGATTTTGATCTTAAGTCTTTTTAAAAATAATATGAAGTTCCTTCCATTCTCTTTGTATTTTTCTATTAATCTTCTTAGTAAATATATCGGTTCTATAATCGATGTACCAAGCATAAATCCACCCTGATTTCTTACACTTGTTGTAACTCTTAGGTAGTGCTCCATCACTGTATCGCTTATCAACTTAATGGCTTTGTAATTGTTGCAATTTTGGATATCTCTTTCTTTTCTTTCTTATCAGTTCCTTTATTTATATATATATATATGTACTAAAATACTTTTGAATAATTTATAATTAAATTATTTTTTTTGAAAAATATACATATGAAAGTTTTTATAAAATAAATGATTCGAATTATTAAAAATAAAACTTTTGATGAATCGCACAAACCTGAATCATACTAGCATGCAGTAAACTTCCAAATACAAGGGGGTGCCAGAGAGCTTCTCTCTAGCGATTTTCAATGTCCCTCCAACATCTACAATAGCCTCCTCTTCAAAGTAATATATACAAGGGGGAAATAAAGGGGTTTAGTTGAAAAAGGCAAAAAGAGGTGGCAATTTGAAATTCTTTTCTAAATTTTTATGGCAAAAACAATTTTTTTAAAAAAATTTCGAGGAGAGGCATTTGCCTCTTAGGTCTAGTGTAGATCTGTCACTGATCACTGATCACTGGAGAAGCTATAATTCTAATAGAATAGACATAGAAAGTAAAATCATAGTTCATTCTAATTGAAATCTTAAGAACATATAATATTTAAACACATAAAAACCATAGTAGAAATCACAAACACTCACATGATAACACATTTAATATTCAAGTTTATGAGTAAACTTAATAACCATTACACTTATTCTGAAAACATATTCATTCTCACTCAGATTAATATAAACATAGAAACTGTCTACATATGCAGATGCAGAATATTTTGTTGAAATGAAATAGTGGATGATAGGGTGGTGGCCTAAGCAAACAACATCAGATCAGTGTCGGGACAGGGGCGAAGTAATAATCATAATAAGGGCAATGACAATCTGTATGAGAGTGAGGAGGAGGAGAAAACCAGCTGCAAAAGTGGCAACAGTGACCCATATATTTGTGAAGTAATCACGCTTCAATGAAGCTACCAATCTGTTCCACCATCTCTTGCAATGAGCATTCACTTTTCTGCGCTGTTCAACATAGTAGAACTGCTCCGAAACGAACACCCCTGTACCCAGGCTGTTGAACATAAGTGCTACCTTTTCGTCGTCACCAAGCCAGTGGTCAAGAACTTCATGGCGACGAAGTTGGCTCACGTCTTCTTTGGAGTTGATAAGCTGATCCATGAAAGACGTATAATCGGTGAAATATTTGGTTCGTCATCCAAGGAATGTTGTTCATAGGCAATAATGTTGTGGAAGAATATTTCTGTCGAATCAGAGACTTTAAACTTTGGTATTTTAAAATGACCATGGTCGAAGTGTATGTCGAACATGCTTTGGTTACGCTCCTCTCTAGCCTCAAACTTGACACCAGCGTCCTTAAGCTCTGTCACACACGGCATATTAAAGCAAGTTCTCTGATTCTTGTTTTGGTGGTCATTTAACTCATCTCTAGAGCAGGAGGGAAGACAAACATTATGCACCAAGTCAAGAAAATGCTTGCCTTCAGAGACGGACGTATTTTCAAAATCGATTTTGGAAAAGTCAATCCCTCATGGTAGCTTCTCAAGTATAGGTAACATTGCCATCTTCGTGAGGGTGGGGGTGGAGGTGGGATCATGATGAATCTGGTTTGGATTTTGGGTCACTATCATGTCGTAGCTCATGTCATAAAATTCAGATATAACAAAGAATGGAAGTTGGTTTTCAAGTAACATCAAGTCATTGCCAATCTGTATTCTCTTCCATGACACTTTGACTTCATCACCCACATGTGATTGTTGATGTTTATCCTCAACAACACAAAACTCAAACATAGCAAGAAGAAACTCAATAACGAAGCAATCATCATATAGCATCATTTTCACAAATTGATGACTGTCGAGGTGGTCAAATAAGTCTGCATAATACTTGCGAGCTCTTTCTTCTAACTTGTTCATGAAATCTAAATAATCATCCTTACTCTGATTGTTGTTACGTTGAAGGAGCGATTCCAACTAACGTTCTTTATGTTTTTGCATAGCAAGTAGTTTGGATTGACCATGGTGATAAGGCCCTATTGAAACTAGCTTAGGTGTGTATGCCTTTTCATTTGCATGACGCAATCCTTCATGCACCCTAAAGATACAAGCTGCTTCATCGGCCAAAGCTTCTCTTTCTTCAATGTAGATGATAAGTTGTTCCATATTATTATCTGTTAAATTTGAAGGAAAACGTGATATCACCGACCTAAAACATTTATTTATTTATTATTATTTGCATATGTAGATTTCACGTAGTGATTTCCATTGTGTACAAAAATTTAATACAAGCAGAAATTTATATTTATTAATTATAAGTTTTGAAAAAAGGTGTCTATTTTTATTATGGATAAATTATAAATACGCGTTTGAGATTTATTTAAATACAGATTGCCTCATGTGGTTTTAAAAATTACATCATGCCCCTTTAAGTTTCTAAATGGATAACAAATGACTCATTTTATTAATAAATCATCAAGCCAATTAACAGTTTTTACTAATGTCAGAAATATATTTTAATTAACAATTCAAATAATTTTTTTGTTTTAAAAAAAGAGTAGTTAGAAACAGTTTTTAATCTTTTACTAGTATCACTCTGTTTGATTTTGATTTTTTAATAACTATTTTTTAAGTTTTCAATTCATATTTTTTTATTGATTTTTTAACATTTCAATCAATTTTTTTTACTTTTTACATCCACTAAATTTAGATACACTTAAAACATATAAAATTTGTATAAAAATCTTTCAAAAATTCATTAACTATAAAAAAATATAATATATATATTCCGTACATTTTGTATTTTTTTTCATATTCAATGATTTTTTTTTTCAAAAAAAAAGTGCACAAATTATATATTTTTTAATTGTATCTAGATTAATCAGATATAAAATGCTAAAAAAAATTATTAAAATGTTTAAAAAAAATCAACGAAAACAAAAAATATGGATTGAAAATTTTAAAAACTATTTTTAAAAAATCAAAACCGAAAATCTATTTCATAATTAAATAATATAAAAATTAAAATTAATATTCTGTAAAGAGTTAAGCTGAACCAGGCCGAATCAAGATAAAAATCTTTGTCTCGAGTCTAACTTACTCGAAAATGAAATAAGTTCAAAATCTTAACTCAACTCAACTCAACTTTATATCTTAAAGAAAAAAATAATTAGACCGGACTAATGTTGGTTTTGAAAATTAATTAAAATAATAAAAAACTCAATTTTTTTTTATGCACGTCCTTTCATTAAAAATTTTAAAATAACCTTAACACTGTGTTTGGTTCATGAATTTGGAGAGAGATTTGGAAAAAGAAAGAAAAAGATAGATGAAATATAAATAAAATATAATTACATTTCACACACATTTTTCTTTTTCTCTTCGAATTCCTTCCCTAAATCCACGAACCAAAGGAAATGAAAATGCAATCTCACTTTTTGTTTGATTAAAAGATTTGATGAAAGAAATGGAAAAAGAAATGAAAATACATTCTCACTTTTTGTTTTGTTATAATAAAAAATATATGGAAAAAGAAAATGAGACCCAAATGCAATCCTACTTTTTGAATTAACTTAGACTATTTTCTTTCTCTATTTCCCAATTTAACCAATAATAGTTTGAAATTCAAATCTTATTAACTCTTTCTTCTTCTTTTTTTCTTTGTATTTCGCTTTCCCTTTTCATTTCCGTTATCAAATCTTTTAACTAAATACAACCTAAGTAAATTGGACACCCATCGTACCAATAGCCGCCCTACCTACCCCGGTCGAAACCCACCCCAGCCCAGACGTGGATAGTGACTTTTATTTATTTGTATGATTTTGCTTTTTCTTATATCTATCAATATAAGAATCTCTTCGGTTGAAATGGAGCGCTTTTATTTTGTCAAAATTATTCTCAACAAATGGTTGTATTCTTTTCAAAGAGTATGTATCACATTTACTTTATAACTAAAGAAGAAAATGATATAATTTCATATTTTTTAAGTTATAATTATAAATAAAAAAAATCATAACCAAATATTACATGAGACATAAGCAAACATATCAAAATAATGTTATAACTAAAGAAGAAAATGACATAACAAAAAATGCATATGATAAAGAGCGTGTATTGTGGAATTCTTCTACATATACAATTACAAAACAATAAAAGAAAATATGGAATAAAAAACTAATTATAAATACCTGACAATGTTGGTTGGATGATGTGGAGATAATATTATTCAAATCAAATTGGACCAACTATTATTGACTGACAAAAATGAGTAGATCTTTTGTTAAATCTGAAGTAATAATAATGTTTCTTTGCAACTAAAAAGTATGAATGATGACTAGTTAAATAGACCTTTCAAATTCTTTACTTACTAAAAAGATTGAGGGAAGTTCCATAATCAAAGTAAATAATAAATTTTGAAAAGTTAAAGATGCTTTAAATCAGTTCACAAGTAATATATCAATTATATTCCTTGGAAATTACTTTAAAGTATCTTTTAATTTTTCAAAATTTATTACTTGCTTTCCTTGTTGGACTTATTTTTTTATTCTAGGCTGCCTATAAGTTATTTTTAAGTCATATTTGAATGACAAAAGTTTTTAGGGGAATGAGGATCTCATTGCTAGTATTGGAATTACTAGTAATAAAATCCTTGTATCAAAGTTATTTAGGAATTGAACCAAAAAAAACAAAAAAATTATTTAAGCATTTGGTTTTGTTAGGAAT